GTGCCAGTAAGGTTTTGTATATTAAATGATTATTCCTCATACGTCACAACATTAGCATATGGCATGGAAAAACCTTTATAATTTCAAGAAGCCGCACTCAAACTATGAAATTTTTTCGGGCTTTTCCACATCTTACCCCATGTAGAATCAATACTTTGAATATTGTCAGAAGGGTGATAGGCACTTTAAATAGTTAGTCGTAACAAAATGGCGGAATCAAGGGTTTGAAAAAACATGTGATTTAATGGTATAGCTTTACCTTGAAACATGGGGGTCGGTCAAAAATTTAAAAAAATCGATTAACATCGTGAGATTCTATTTTGTTTCCATCATCAGGGGTTATATTTGCACGCAGCAAGTAGACTAAAGGGGTATAATGCTAAAAACTGAGGGTTGTATTCAATTGAGATAATCGTTTCAACTCAGTCTTGAATGATTTGATCAGTTTATTTTTTACATAAAATGAGTCTAAACATTATTTTTGATGAAAAGTCGACTTACGTTGGGGACACACGGTGCAACATTGCTCCCAAAAAATTTGAATCGGGGTGACACACGTTGCAACAAAATCACGCAACATCGCTTGTATCAACCTGCTATGCTAAGAAATTTGGTCAGCGAATATAAATTTGGTACAAGATGATTGGCTGGAAATTTCAAAATGTTGAGCAGCCAAGTTTACACGATGAAATTTGTTGCGTGCAATGTTGCAAGAGTAGAGCGCGATTCAACTTCAGATTTGTTGCATGAAATGCTGGGTGAAACAACTTTCAGTGGTAGACGCACGCTGCATACGGAACAGTCCTGTTGCGTTCAATGTTGCACCCCGTGTCTGCACTTTTCGGATGTTAAACAAAATGTGCCAGTTCTAAAACACTAGGTAAAATCTTATACTAAAGAAACAAAATAAATGAATTTGGGAGGCATTTTGGTAGAGCATGGTAGTAAAATGACGCCACCTTCTGGGCCTTTTCTCATATAGCGAACGTGGTGCATTGTGGTCTAGCTTCATTTGTCCATCATGCCTTATATGGTGTTATTTTGCTATATTTGATACATATATATTTGTGTAAAACACTCTGAAGAAGTATGCGATAGCTGGGCAAAAAGTGCAGATGAAATGTCTGAATGTCTGTTAAACAACTTGAAGAGCTCTAAGCGAACTAAGCTCCGCATACTGATGTTTGATTTGACATAATAAATTGTATTAAAAAATCCTGTCATATGAGTTAAATGATCATTGGGAGTGGTCGCTTACGAGAGAGAGAAAACAATTGAAAACATTGGGAAAAAACGACCGCGCTGGTTTTTTTCGTTTTTGTCTTTGTTTTTTGTTTTTTTCTGTTTGTTTGTTGTTTTTGTTGTTGTTGTTGTTGTTTGTTTGTTTTGTTTTTATTTTTGTGCTTATTTTGTTATCCCTTTTTTGTTAATCCATTTGTTTGTTTGTTGTTTTTGTTGTTGTTGTTGTTGTTTGTTTGTTTTGTTTCCAGATGAGTGGGTGTCAAAATGCTTTCTACAAAACAATGCAACTGGAACTAAGCTAAAAGATCTTGGTCAAGAAAAATGAAATTTTTTAGAATATCCTGACTTTTAGATTTTTAAAACCGAGTAAAAAAATAAACGACTGCCCGAGTAACTGTACTTGGTATTTAATTAATATTTAATCTCAAAATATCCAAGTCAATCCCCGTGGCGCAATGGATTAGCGCGTTGGACTTCTAATTCAAAGGTTGTGGGTTCGAGTCCCACCGGGGATGTTTTATTTTTCTCCTGCAAAAAAAGGCACTCGCGCTTCCTTACTTATTCATACTTTTTATTAACTTCTGTTTATTAGAGTTATAAATTATTGTTCTTTGCGAACAAAATACTGTTATTGACAATAATAAAATAAAAATAAAATAAAACGTTATGATTTCCTAGAAACCCTCGTCCCAATCCCCTTGCTAAATTCCACCTTGCTGTGCAAAGATTAGAAGGTGCTGCACACCGAACTGTTTCGTCTAAAAACATGGCTTTTCTTCGCTTTAGATCAGTCTATTGCATCTCAAAAAATGATATAGATATAAATGAACGTACAATTTTCAGTTCTGTGTGTATAACAACAGCAACATTGTCTGCTTACGGCGCATTTGTCCAGCTTCGATTCTGGTCTCGACAACTAAAAGACTTTGATAGCAGAAGGAAGCCTTCTTCAAATCCTGTCATAGTATTCTGTTTAGCGCTAGCTGACCTTTTTACATGTATTGGTGAGTATTGATACTTATATTTCTTCTAAGTTTTACTATCTATTTAGATTAATGTCGTTTTATTTTATTATATACAAAAGCTTGATTTGGCTTAAAACCGGAAATCAAGCTAAAACAAAGTTTGACCAAGTACAGATACATGTAATTAACTTAAGATTTTTTTATCAGCTTTATTACATAATTGTAATTACAAAGTAAAGTATACTGAATATGAAGCTTTGACGTCTTAGCCGCCATTTTGGTTGATTTTGACAAACGATTTGGTTTTGGTGACTTTTTGTCATGTCAGCTGACATGGCGGCCATGTCATGTCTTTTGTCCTTTTATTCTCATGGAAACATGGAAGCGATTCACATCAACAACTGTGTAAATGATTTGTGTAACAATGAAATGGCATAGCTGCAAGCCAAACACAGCTTTCATAAATGTGTAGTTTCAGAAATTATCCATACCCTCCCATCCCCAGGGGAATTTGGAATTTCCAAAGGGGTAGGGGGGTCAGAGAAAGAACAAAATTGCAGAGTTTGTGGTTTGTGATACATTAGTTTTAAAGGGTTCTGGTTGAAAGCTGACACAAGCTCCGATCATCATAAATCTTTAGCAAACAACAGTCTACACATTCGATATAGTGGATTGTGGTTAAGTGTTTAATGGAAACCTTTTGCAAATTTGTTTTAACTGTTTGAATGTCTTGTTGACGATTTTTCGCTTCTAATTACACACGTTCTCACGTGAAGTTCAGAGAAGGGAGTTCAGTTGTAAGTCATTGTCTCCACTTCTTAACAAAGGTCAAAATTCAACCTAACAATGACATGTTCAAACAGCCAAAACAAATGTGCAAAATGTTTCCATTAAATACTTGACCGTAATCCGCTGTAAGATAAATTCTTGTTGCATCTCCCTTTTCATATTATATACATATACTGGAAGTTCATTGTTGATCTACCATCTATATTCAAGTTTATATATATTATATATACATTGTTAAGGTAGATCAAATACAAGTCATCTCTTTAGCTGTTAAGTACTCTGAGTTTMATGCTTACGTGATCATCAGACAGACTTTAATGAAGAATATATCTTACTTAAGTGGCCTATATACATATATTATATATATTTGGGGAGGGGCCCGAGGGGGTGTTAAAGTTGAAATAAATCATTGATTCATTTATTAATTAATGGTTTCTTATTACCATATTTTTTATCCCCAGGTGTCATTTTGATGTCTATTCTACTGATGACTGTGTCTCCACCTTATCATAACCCAAAGTTAGATAAAAATATACCAAAGGAAAAGTGGTACAAATACATAGCTGTTCCCATAGAGGTATGAACACCTTGTCATGCTCTGTGTTATCTCCCATTCTTGTACCCAGACCCTTCTCACCAAAAAATCGTAGGCTCTGGTAACATACAAACCAGAAGACCCAGATTCTAGGTCGACAGGTATATGCACATTGACTCCACTTATTCTGACTTCTGGTATTAAACTCAAACCGTCTTTTTTTTTCTTCAAAAGAAAAACAATCAAGCTTATTTATACATTGTTTATGGAACAGTTTATTTGTCTGTGATTAACATTCCAAAAAATAAGCAATTTAACGAGACCCTCTGATGCGTATGGTAAAGTATTCAAATTTCAAACGTTGACTGTAAAATCAGCGAACAGGAAACAGATGACTATGCAAAAAATTTAAACTGTTAGAAAGCAACTGTTAGAAATTTAAAGACCTTCAGTCTTATCGATACCCTGAACCGCCTCTGAGCTGATATCAGTAAAATTAAGGGCATATATAGCTTACGCTCAGATGGAATTTGCATTTAATATGTTTTTTTTTAAGTTAAGGGAGAAAACCAGAGAACCCTTATAAAAATTCTTCAAATCAAGGGAAAGACTTAAGAGACTGATTTCTCTTCCTAGAGTTTCACCATGTTTGCCTATATATCTTCCTACATGTGGACCCTGGCATATGCCTTGGATATATGTCTACAAGTTTATAACAAAGATAAAAGGTAATTAGCTGACATAAAATACTTAAGCATTGTTGAAAATGTACATTTTATTAGTTGTAAAATTTCATTGGTGTATGTAATTTGTATATAACTGTCATCAAGAAAAACAATATTACAGTAGTGTCATCATTATCACCATCATCATCATCACAAAATTCACCATCACAACATCATCGTCATCATTATTATTATCATTGTCATCTTCACCACCATCATCATCATCACATCACCTTCACATCATTGGCATCATTATCATTATCATTGTCATCTTCACCATCATCATCATCACATCATCATCACATCACCATCACAACATCGTCATCATTATCATTATCATTGTCATCTTCACCATCATCACCATCACCATCAC